GGAAAGAGAGCATTAGGAAAAAAAGCCTATTGATTGGTTTGCTGTTCCGAGCCTGTGGCCAGGCTCACAAGCCTCTTTTGAGTAATTATTGGAAAAAAGTTATTGATTGGTTTGCTGTTCCGAGCTTGTGGCCAGGCTCTCGAGCCTCTCTCGAGTAAATATTGGAAAAAGAGTCTATTGATTGGTTTGCTGTTCCAAACCTGTGGCCTGGCTCACAAGCCTCTCTCGAGTAATTATTGGAAAAAGAGCCTATTGATTGGTTTGCTGTTCCGAGCCTGTGGCCACGCTCTCGAGCCTCTCTCGAGTAATTATTGGAAAAAGAGTCTATTGTTTTGCTGTTCTGACCCTGTGGTCAGGCTCTCGAGCCACTCTCGAGTAATTATTGGAAAATAGCTATTGATTAGTTTGTTGTTCCGAGCCTGGCCAAACTGATCCCAGATCTAGAAAACAACAAATATCCGGTTGAACCCTTATTCCTTTCTTTTCCTCTCGAGACACGGGGAATGGTGTCTAAGAACAGACTTCAAAAGAAAGCGTGACCGACGGGCAGAAATACCCATCACCCTGCTGGTCGCCGAGGACCTCGGAAACGGGCGCGGCGGGTGACAGACGCCGTTGCCCTTGGCTTCGGCGAACGGTAGGCGCCCCTCCCCGGGTTTCCTCACAACGCGTCGCTGCTCTCAGAGCGTACTCCAAGGTCTCGGTGGACACTCCTCTGCCACGACCTCGCTGAGGCTCACAACCTGATGTCAGTACCTCCCTCGCGGCGGTCGTCCTGGCGCCTCCTCCTCCCAAGCCCGGCTAAAGGCGTGCAGTGTGCTCCGTGACACGACGGGTGGAATCCAAATCTATATCTGTCCTCCCGAATATCATTGTGTCACACACGTCCTGCTGAACTGCCGTCGTGTCACGAATCCTAGATCTCCCAGGCGTGTGTGGGGATCGAGAGCCTCTGCTTGTGGGTGATGATGATGGATCACCTGGAGGTGCTCTGGGAGGAGGGGGTGGCATGTCTCCTGTGCGTGGCGCTGTCTCTGTCACGCTGTCGGAAGATGATGAGGCGCAGCAACAAAATTAACTCGTTGCAATCAATCTCCGCACTGCGCCAAAACAGCGCTTAGGGACGTCCAAGGTCATAGTCAAGCTGGGCCCTAACGCATTGGTTAGATTTCCCCTGAGCCGAGATCAAGGGAAAAACAGCACGGCGGTACGGTCCGTCGGAGACCAAATCATCCCTGTTGGACTGGACTGACGCGACCGGAATAGGCCAATTAGTGGGGTCCGGTCCAAACGGCACTTGAAATGGACCAAGGGTTAGCGAGATAATTAAGCTTGACCGGTTAGGACCGGACCGACATAACCGCGTAACCCGCGCAGGAAAGGAACAACCCTAAGAAGCCATATAGATGAACAGCCAGACCCGAATAATTAAAATAGGGTCATGTGCTAGTTTTAGCACGGGACAAACTGTTCATTTGCCAAAGTTGGGCCTGCACCAGTCCCGTTCTAAAAATAGCCAGCCCCACGCTATTTTTAGCGTGCAACTGACTGTTCATCTACAGAGGACTGGGCCTGCGCCAGTCCCGTTCTAAAAGTAACACAGTTCCACTCTATTTTTAGCGTGGGACTGACTGTTCATCAATCGGGGGCAAGAGAGTCGAGCGGAAGGCAAGCCAGGGAAGGGATAAGGAAAAGGGGGGGGGGAAGATTGGTCTCCCACTTTCCCTTTCTCATTCCCTTTCCTCTCTCTCTTCTCATCTTCCCTTTCACTCCCAATTCTTTTCCAACCGCCTCTATTCCCCTGTCACTCACCGTTCGTGAGCTGTGTACGTGCCGTATCTGATCTGAGAGCACTTGCCTGAACTTTGTATCTGATTGGTCATAAACTTTGAGTTCATCTAAGGGTCGTGATCAAACTGTGTGCTTGCGCACACTTGAGAGTTGAAGCCGAACTGAGTCTGCGCACACTTTATTTAAGGGCAACTTTTCACTGTGTCCGCGCAGCTGCATTAGGCATCAAGCCGAGTTTGAGACTGTCAGCGCAGTCCCTCTGAGTAACGAGCCGAGTTTGAGACTGCCAGGGCAGTCCCTCTGAGTAACAAGCCGAGTTTGAGACTGCGAGCGCAGTCCCATCGAGGCATCAAGCCGAGTTTGAGACTGCGCTAGCAGTCTCACTGAGTAAACGAGCCGAGTTTGAGACTGCCAGCGCAGTCCCACTTAGTAAACGAGCTGATTTTGAGATTGTCAGCGCAGTCCCTCTGAGTAACGAGCCGAGTTTGAGACTGCCAGCGCAGTCCCTCTAAGTAACAAGTCGAGTTTGAGATTGTCAGCGCAGTCCCACTGAGTAAACTAGCCGAGTTTGACACTGCCAGCGCAGTCTCTCTGACTAACACGTCGAGTTTGAGACTGTCAGCGCAGTCCCATTGAGTAAACGAGCCGAGTTTGAGACTGCCAGCGCAGTCCCTCTGAGTAACAAGCCGAGTTTGAGACTACCAGCGATGTCCCACTGAGTAAACGAGCCGATTTTG